ATCAGCCCGTCTCCCGCACGGCTATCAAGGCCGCCCCAACTTGGCCGCAGCCTCCCCTGACAAGCACCATAACACAATAACCACAAGACTGTACCGCCTGTTATGCCGTGCACGGGCCAACGTGCAGCCGGTCCGCCTCTCCCCACCTCGACTTTCTGTCTTGCAGGCTGCAAGTCCCTAAAAAGCCCCAGATAAGTCAAACCATCTGCTTTCCTGTCACGCACTACCAATTTTCCCTCCCGGCCAGCGCCTGTCCTTAACAGACTCTACCTGCGCCCACACAGCGACAATACCGCTGGACTCGTTGCGCCGGCGCGGCACCACACACCAAAGGGGGAAAAAATTGACCCAAGCTCCGTCTCTCTTTCTCTCCTTTGCCTCGTTCGCTGCACCCCTTGCGCAACGGGCAGGACGCGAGGCCGTCTTGACCCACCTCGCCTGGCTTGTTCTCAAGGCCTTCCTCCTGTCAGCCATGAATAACATGAATAACAAGAACTGGAACGACCGTGCCGACAAGGACCTCTTTTTCACCATTTTGTCGATCAAGAACATTGGTGTCATTAGTGGTGCGGAATGGACACATATCGGCAACTACATGCGTAGCATTGGATATGGCTTCACAAACGAAGGATGCCGGTAAGTATCTCATCTCATTCCGCAGCTTACACCCTTGGACATTTTGTCAGACTTGTTGCTTTCATTTTCAGCCCGGATCGTCGTCTGCTGCTGCCAGTCTGCCTTCTTGTTCCTGCATATCCAACTGCTACTTCCCCTCATCAGTACGCCGTAGCAGTCCTCCACCACCGCAAGCCTTATATGCAATGCAACCCCCGGCCAATAGCATCTTTTTTTCGGTTCAATCCCCGCTCTCTGCTAACATCCCGTCACAGACAACACTTTCAAGGCCTGCGCCGCGCTACAAACAAGATTGAGCCGGGGCCTCCTCCAGCAGACGCCGCGCTCCGGCGCATCGACCCAAGCCTGAACCCCATCACCCGGCGCCCTGGGCCCGGACGCGGCCGGCCCCGAAAGTCCGCGGCCGGCGGCGAAGCGTCCGCAGGACCGGCTTCCGCAGCCGCCAGCAGTATCACGCCGCTTGACCCCAATCTGGACGCTTCGCCGATCCCGACGGCCCCGGCCCCGGCCCCGCCGCAAGCAATGGATACGGAGGTGCACGACCCCAACCAGCAGATTGCCATGGAGGACGAGCAGGTCCTCGTGGCGTCGGCCGCCGCCGGTCCCTACCCGGGCGCTGTCCCTGTGCAGCAGGGCGCCGCGGACGGGAGCGCGGACGAGCACCCGTCGAAGCGGCAAAGACTCGACGCCGATGTCATGGACCCCGAGTCGGCCCTGGACGATGAGGCTGTGCTGGCACTGGCCGCGCACAACGGCACAACACCGGCCGATTATGCAGAGTGAGAAGACCCCCTTTTATCAGGCTTTTCGAGTATCATACTGATAGGTGCGACATTAGATTTAGCTATGGTGATGCGTAGCTTGTCAACTTTCCAGACATGAAACAAGATTACGAGCGAGCAATGGCGGGGTTCATCGGCGTTGAGTGACTTTCTGTCTGGATACACACGGCGCTTTTTTTCCTCTTTCCCACAACTCGGAGGCTGTACTTTGACGACCAGGTAAACGCATTCTGACGTTTTTTGTTGTTGTTGTTTTTTTACTTTTCTGTTTATACATTAGAAGCGCAGGATTACAATGTTGGAGGGGCTGCTTTTGGCCCGGGAGAGGAGTTTTGTCGGTTTTTTTTTTTTTTTCATTATTGACTGGCATAGATCTTGGTAAACACAATCTGTGCCAGAAATCAATACAATTATTGATCATTCATACTTGACGGGACAAATGAACAAGGCGTACAGGCGTCCACATCCAAAGTGCTTGGGCAGTCGCCGAAGCACAACGCAGCAGTGACGATTTGGTGGCTCAAACGGTAGGCCGACTCCAGCACAGTTGGTTCTGTCAAGGTGATCAACGACTGATACCTAGGTAGGTACTAGGTAGGTAGTAAGCAATCTGGTTTTTTAATGCAAACAGACCACCGATGCTGCAGCTCTGCCCTAGCCGTTTGCACTCGTAATCAACAACGCGCGACCATTCACCGACTGCCTCCCTCCCGTTTCCTTGACCATTTCCATCTCACAAACAACAAGACGCAAAACCACATTCTCGCTTTTCTTGTCGCTCTTCCATCGCTCTCTCTCTCTCTCTCTCTTTCTCTCTTGCCTCGTCTTACCTTTGCGGTCAGCACAGCCCTTTACGACACTTAAAAACCCGTCCGAATCGCAACCATGCCTGTCAAGGCCGGAGTCTGGGAAAACGCAGACTTCCTCATGGAGCTGTCCCTCGCGCTCTTTCAGGTTGCCAGCAATGGCGGCGTCCTGGGCAGCCAGGCCAAGAGTGCCGTCGAGGCCTATCTCAAGGCCCAAGGCCATGATCAGTCCTGGGAGTCTATCCGGTAAGGCGACGCTCTACCGTTCCATCTTGTCAATCTTATCCCTTCTTTCAACTTTGCCATTCCCTTCGCCTCTCACCGTTTTATTGTTCGTGTTTGCTGCTTACGGCTGCATTTTGGCGCGTGTTTTTCGCAGAGGCGGTGAAAACAGCTGCCTACGAGCGAAGTTGCCTCCTCATTTTCATCCTTTCATCCTTTTATCCTTTATCCTTTATCCTTCCACTCTTCTTATTATCCTGCCCCTCGACTTCACCTTTCCAGCAAAGCACCTATCGCCATGGCTCGTTCTCAGATGAAATGGGACGCGGCAGCTCACGAGGCCATGCTCATCTGCATCGTCAAGCACTGCGAGCTACACTCCAATAACATGGCCAAAGTCTTGGAAGACATGCAAAAGAAGGGCTACGAGTTTACTGAGAATGCCTTCCGGTATGACATATCCTGCCAACGGACCACACTAGTCTTTTGATCCTTTGCCTGCTCTGCTTTTCCTATTGTCTGTTTCCGTTTGTCTTGAAAGTCCAGCACAGACACCTGCCGGGCAGAAGGCAGGATCTTAGTACCACCACCCACTCATCTCTCGCTCACATACACAAATCTACTCTCGCCACATCACAACACACACTCACTACACCCATCACCTTGCCATAACAATAGCCCCCAACCTTTACCTTTTTTCTCTCTACCCACCTCTTCCTTGCCATACCAGATCCCTTTCGATCCAAATTCATTCAATTCAAATCCATCGCGTTTCTCATCATGCCTGAAAAGTCCGGCCGTCGCTGGGACGCCGCAGCCCACGAAGCCCTGCTCTTCGCTATGATTGAAGAGTTCAAACCAAATAAGGAGTCAATCACGGGCATTGTGAATCGTTTGGGGGCTATGGGCCACGATTACACATTTCATGGAGTCAAGTACCTGGCTTCCCCCTTGCCCCTATTTCTCTTGATCCTTTTGCATTTGCATGACTTCTCTGTTCTCTGCTTTTTACTAACCGTCTTTCGCTTTTCTAGTCAGCACATCCAAAAGCTTCGCAAAGCTCGCGATACGTCTGCCCTCGACGGTTCAGGGGATAGCTCAAAGCCTGCTACTCCCCGCAAGGCTACTCCTCGCAAGACCCCAACGTCTACCCGCAAGCATAAGGTGGAGATGGACGAGGACGCCGACGAGCTCGGCCTCAACCTCAAGACCGAGGACGGGAAGCGTGCCATGGCTACTCCATCCAAGCGCCCTAAGATCGAGTAAGCTTTACGAATTCGCCTCCTACTTTTGAACTCGTAAAATACTAACTGTCTTTTTCTGTTGGAAGGCCTTCCTCTGAATCGGACTGGAAAAAGTCCGTCTTTCAGAACTCCGAAGTTTAGGCCAACGCGTGGGCCTTTGGTCCTATCACGATACAACAAGACGCATGTTGCGAGATGTTACGAACTTTGAGATGCATGGGTCCATTTTGCTTTGCTACTTACGGGGTTATGGACATTGCGATGCCATTTGATTTCCACAGAAGAGGCGACGTTGGATGAGACAGCATAGTCGGGAGAGCATTAGGTATTAAGGGGACGAGACAGCTAAAGCTCAGGAAGAGCATTGAATACAGCACTCTATCTCGCATTCTCGGATAATCACTTATGTGCCATTGTACGTGCCATCGGGGGCTGTTACCGTCGGCGACCTCCACCACGATGCGCACCGCGGTCGGCCAAGTCAATTCGCAGAGCTGTGTTTACACTCTGATAGTACCTGGGCGTTCAGACCATCTCCATTGTAGTCCTTTCCTTTTCTTTTTTTTTTTTTTTTTCGCAGCGCCTACGCTTTACCCCTGTCTGTGTATGGTCGTTGTCTGGTGCAGCCTCCGAGGGACCAAGGCTCGGCCGTCGACGAAGCAAGATGCCGCGCGACACGTCAGGGCAAAACAGCTTCTGCACCCTTGCAAGTTTGCATCTCTGCACTTTGATATTGAACCTTTTTTCTTCTTCTCCTTGATTCGCATGTGTTTCTCGACGGAAGCTACTTGTGCTGATGCAGCGCCGCGGCGACCACGGGCGCGGCGGATGATGCAAGGGCGACAATTTTTTCGCGACAATCTGACGGCTCTGCGACAGCGCCACATTGTGTTTTTGTGTGTAGTACTCGAGGCGCCGTTTTAAATAAAGTATTCACACTTAATCGAGTGATCTTTAGCTATTGTTGGCTGCAGTGGTATAGGAGGTCAGCAATTACCGCTCTGCATTTGTTCTGATGTAAGTGACACTTCGATCTCGACGACCACGACAATGGAATAGTGGCAACTCATGACAAGATCCCACCCAAACATATCATATGCAGAGAGAGTAGCTCAAAAAGTAAGCACACTCGTTTTCAAGCCCCTACAGCCTTACACAGGCGCAGTGATGCCAAATGTCCTTCTACAATTTAGATCTCGGGTAGGCGACGGTTCCAGCTGCGGGTCCTTGGTTGCGAGCCAGCCATCAGCATGGACAAAGCAGCGCAGAGTCGCTCATATATGCATTTAGTTTAAATCAGAAGTAAGATCGGGCTAATGGTCTAGGGGTATGATTTTCGTTTTGCATACACAGGGATACCGATGACCTCCGCACCGCAAGGTAGCAGGATTAGGTCCCCAGTAGTTTCTCTACGAAAGGTCCGGGGTTCAAATCCCCGTTGGTCCAATCTAACTTTTTTTTATTTCTAACATCACTATTCTAATAACAAGTTCATAGCTATTTTTATTTTCGTTCTTCTTTTTCGACCTCGTAGATGCGAGAGATACTAAATAGTCCATGGTTTATTTTTTCGTCGTTGGGCTGTGTGCTTGCGTCTGTGACTTTGGAGGCAGGGGCTGTTACCGCGCCGGCCCAGCGTGGTACAACAGGGCAACTTGCAGAAAACACACCTTGCGCATATTATGTTGTCTCGGAAAAACGATATTGTCAGGATTATGTTTAAACTACACTGTCCTTGGATCACCAACTGAATTTTTTTCAACGATAGGAGAGGCACCGTCTGCTCGAGCCAGCTGAAACCGCAGCCTTGCCCTCCCATCCCTCTTTTGCACCAGTACTGCTAAAACGGACAGTCGACTCGCCAATACCAGTTAGCTGAGAATAGCCGACACTTGCAAGGCCAGCATTGACCTGGAAATATAAACACCATGAGATTCTAAGCAATCGTGCAGCATCGAAGAACCGAAATTAGCGTTGCTCTAGCTTGCCCCAAAACGCGCCATCAGTGCAGCACCGCGTACGCCAGGTTACTCCCGCCCGCGGCGCTGGCTGCGCTCCGTCTAACTGAACGGCAGTACGGAGTTTCCATCACATACACGGCCGGTAGACTGGTACCTGCTGCACGCCGGCTTCGCCTCGTCGCTCTTGAACTTGCGGTTGCGACACGTCAGGTAGCCGCTGCGTCCCGACGAGGCTGCGCCTGGGATGCGTCCCTGGGACGCGTCGTCACTCGTGCGTCGGGTAGGGTATCGGGTTCGTTGCTCTTTGTCATGGCCGACCTCTGAATGTTGCGAGCTCCATTCGTCGAAGCCTGCTTGATTTATGGGGAGACTTATTTTGGGAGAGTTTTGAGGAGTTGGCTGACTTGATATCGACACGGCCAGCGGGCCTGCGATTGGATGGTTCGCCGGTTCGCCGGCCATTGCCAAGCCTCGCGGCTTTTACAAGAGCCCACAAGGCTGCTGAGGAAATCGAGCATACATCAGCGCTCGAAATAGGCAAGTTCTGGATCCGATTCGGCGTTTGCCGGATTCGGTTGGCCTTGTGGCATAAAAGGAGCGGGCGCAAAGGAGAAGAGGTCAAGTAAAGTGAAAATCACAAAACTCACCTTGATACATTCCTCCAAGCTACATGCAAGGAGCGGAACCATGGAACTGAATTTTTCCCTATTCTTCATTGCTTCGCTTCTTACACTGAGCGTTGCCAAGTTCCCCGAAGATGCGGCCGGTATCACGACAAAGCACATCGACGGCCAGCCGGGGGTCTCCATTACCTATAAAGAGACCAAGATCTGCGAAACTAGAGCGAAAGCTTGGACTGGGTATGTGCACATGCCGTCATGGCATCTGAGTGAGATCCAGACCGCCGACCCATACAATGTGTCCATGTTCTTCTGGTACTTTGAGGCGCGCAACTCGCCATCCAACGCAACCACGGGCATCTACCTGGCTGGAGGACCCGGTGCTCCGTCCATTGGCGATCTTGTTTCTGGGACGGGGTCTTGCTACATCGAGCCCGACTCCAACAGCACCGAGGACAACCCTTGGTCCTGGAACAATGACATGAACATGCTGTATATTGATCAGCCGGTCAGCACGGGCTACTCTTACACCGAGCGCATTCACTCGACTCTCGACATGCTCTTCCTGGGCAATTCGGTGACGGAAACTGGCATTACACCATTTGAGGCATACGGCGGCTCCGTGCCTCCCGAAAACACCACATTTCTCCATGGCACCTTTTCCGAGCAGAATCCAGACAAGACGGTCAACAGCACGCTGTCTGCTGCCAAGACGCTCTGGCACTTTTCGCAGGTTTGGTTCCCGCACTTTCCCGCGTACAAAACCATCGACAAGAGAGTCGGCATCTGGGGCAACTCGTACGGGGGCTTCTACGTGCCCACCACGGCTTCGTACACGTTGCAGCAAAACACCAAGATTCGGCAGGGAGCACTCAACGGAACCATTATTCCGATTGACGCGGTTGGATGGACAAATGGATGTGTAGACATGCTATACCAGGGCGAATGGTTTCCCGAGCAAGCCTACAACAATACATACGGCCTGCAAGTCATCACCAAGGATGCGTACGAGGAGGCTCTGCACAACTTTACCAAGCCGGGAGGCTGTCGGGACCAAATCGTCGAGTGTCGTCGCATCGGTAATCTCTACGACCCTGACCATCTCAATACAAACTCCAACGTCACCGACGCCTGCGTCGGAGCCACCCTCTACTGCTTCGGCTACGTCATGGGCGCGTACGAGGCCGCAAGCAACCGCAGCGACTTTGACATGGCCCATCTCAAGCCCGACCCCTTTCCACCCTCCTACGCCAGCGGCTTTTTCAACCAGGCGTGGGTGCAACGAGAACTTGGTGTCTCCGTCAACTACACCTCCTCGCTGCTTGCCAACAATGTGCTACTATACGCGACGGGCGACCCGGTACGCATCAGCGGCGTCGAGATGCTGCAGTACCTGCTCGACAGCGGCGTCAAGGTGGTGATGATGTACGGCGACCGCGACTATCGCTGCCCGTGGAATGGCGCCGAGAGGCTCAGCCTGCAGCTGCAGTGGTCGGGCGCCGATGCTTTCCGGAGCGCGGGCTACGAGCGAGTCCAGACGAGCGGGTGCGTGAGCAAGGGCGTCGTTCGCAGCACGGCAACTTGTCGTTTGCGCGCATCTTTGAGGCTGGGCATGATGGTAAGCTCTCGATATTCGAAAAAAAATTAAAAAAATTCTCAAGATGAATATACTAACAATCTTTGGCACCAGCCCAAGGTTACCAGCCTGAAATCGTCTCGCAGCTCGTCAGCCGTGCCGTTGCTGGCAAAGACCTCGCGACCGGTCAACATGCGACAACTGGTCACGGGGCCAACTACACAACACACGGACCAACCAGTAGCTTTTCCATCAAGAACAAGCTGCCGGAGCCACCAGCCTTTGAGTGCAGCTTGTGGAATGTGCCATCCTCGTGTACGCGGGAGCAATACGAGGCTTTGGTGGCCGGCACCGCAGAGGTCAAAGACTACATGGTAATTGAGCCTGCAGGGGGCAGTCCGGGGTCAATTATTTAGGTTTTGTAAAGTGACTGCCGGCTCAAGTGAGGATGAGCTTCACCGGACCGAGTTCTTGCAGCCACCAGAGAAGCTTCACTTCCTGCACAGGTTGGACAGCATTGATGGGATGAGAGTACTAGGATGAATAGAGAAAAGACGGAAATAGAAATCGAAATCCAAGTCCAATATCCGTAGTTCTATAACAAAGCCACGTCTGCAGGGATTTATCTCGCTAATGGGGTGGTGCCGTTACCCCGAACCTACCAAACTGGCAACTCACAGGTACATACATACATACATATTCACAAGCTGAGTATTCGCCAGGAATTTCCGCATGTAGTAACGGTGGTAACCAGGGATACTTGGTGGGGAACTGCCAACGCGCAGAGTCAGATGTATACAGAGCAGCTCACTTCTTTCACAGCAAAAAGTGAACTGCAGATGTCCAGTGACTTTCACATTACAATCAGACCCTTTTAAATTTTCTTTTCCCCAGCCTTTTTATTTTAACTTGTTCTAGATTTCCCCCTTCTTTTAAGTTGTCTTGTCCCTCTCTTAGACCTGCAAACACCACACTCTTCCACAACCACAACAACCTACCGCCTACACAACACTCTCCTCTACACACCACTCTTCTTCTACTACTTCATTCCTTCCTTTTGTATTTTCATCCTAGATTCCAAGGCCCAATTACCTATTGAGATATCTCGCAATGGCCAGCACCACGACTGACGCCAACACTCCTAAGACCGGTGCCGTCAAGAGGTGGGATGGCAATGCCGAACGAGATCTCTGCCTCGCCATCATCTTGGGCGGCACCGAGAGCGACAAGTTTCGCCCCGACTGGAATACCACGCACAGAATGATGAATGCTCTTGGTTACGACTTTACCAAGGACGCCATGTCGTACGTATCCCCCCCCCTCTCTGCCCTTCGATGAAGAAGAATAAACAATGCCTAATCGTCCGCTACAGTCAGCGATGGAGCAAGACCATCTTGAAAGAGTTCAAGAGCCGCCACTCGGATGCCGACTTGGCCTTGCCCGCGTCACCGACAAAGATGACTCCCACCAAGCGCAAGAAGGCTGCCGCTGCCGGCGCCGCCGGCGCCGCCACCACTTCTGACGAGGCCGCTTCCGACAGTGGTGCCGTCGAAGAGACCGTCGTGGCCGCCGCCGCTACCCCCCCCGCCACGCCCAAGGGTCGCAAGCGCGCTCCCGCCAAGCCCAAGGCCACCGGCCCTCCCAAGCCCCGTGGTCGCAAGCCCAAGTCGGCCGCGACGGTCAAGGGCGAGGAGGAAGAGGACGACGAGCCGACGACTCCTGCAAAGGCTGCTGTCGAGAAGCCAGCGACCGCCAAGAAGGGGCCTGTGACCAACGTCAAGAGTAAGCAAGATCCGGCCAATCTTCTTCACGTTGATCGATTCCGTACTAATTCTCCCCACTGCAGGCCAGGACGCCGAGGAAGGCCAAGAGGACCAGCCCAGCCCTTCCAAAAAGGCAAAGGTTGAGCCCCAGGAGGACACTGAAATGACTGATGACGTTTAATCCCATCAGCCTTAATCTTTCTTTCATGTTGCTGCGGCTCTTCTAATATCCATGTGTCCATGAAAAGGACCTGATCTTTCTCTTTCGCTTCTATTCCCTCATGATGTTCATCCGCAAAAGTCGGCCAGAAATAATTTGATTTGCCTACAGATGGCGTTGCTGGAGCTTGCTTAGCCATAACAAAGACTTCTATTACATTCAGATTACTTTTGATAGTTAGCTTTCAGAATCACGGATCAAGCATGTCAACGCACAGTCGCAGGTGATTGTGAATTGATTCGCCATTAGTTTTGACACTATCTCACCTCTGACCCAAAAGCATTTCCCTTACAACGCCGCCGTGAT